ATATCACAATATGTTTGCCATATTACTGTGTGCAGTGAACTGAGCTAGGGATTGGGGATAAAATTAGTTATAAGATATGGCTCCTGTTCCCAAGGGTGGATATCTTAGTTGAAGTAGGAAATATACTTTTAAAAATGCTAATGTCAAATGGTAAAGACTGTAAGGGCCCAAAGAAGGAAAGCTGAGGCAATTGGAAAGATTTATGGAGTAGATAAGATTTGCATCTGGCCTTGAAGGACTTAGCTGTGCTTACTGGGATAATGAGAGAAGTATGGAGTGAAGAGGAAAATGAATACATTGTGATGATGGAGTATAATGTGCTCACTGTTCCTATGTTAAAAACCAATTTGTATGATGCAGAGACTGTAAAAGGTAAGTTTAAAGTCATAGGTAGAAGTCCCACGGTGGATGCCTGAGATACTGAGGCTTTGTATTTTAGGCAAAGGAAATCAAAAAGCTTTTTGAGGGCTGGCCTGGTGGTGTAGCGGTTAAGTGTGCTCCGCCGCTGGCGCCCGGGTTTGGATCCCTGGCGCGCACGGACGCACTGCTTGTCAGGCCGTGCTGTGGCGGCGTCCCACATAAAGTGGAGGAAGATCAGCACGGATGTTAGCTCAGGGCCGGTCTTCCTCAGCAAAAAGAGGAGGATTGCCTTGGATGTTAGCTCAGGGCTGATCTTCCTTACAAAAAAAAAAAAGCTTTTTGAGTTGGATGAAGTAGAAGTATTAGAAGTAGAAAAGGGAAGGGAGTGTTGAGATCACTTAGTATTAGAGTAGTTTAGGTGTGAGATCATGAAGGTCTAGAGTAGGGTAGTGGTTCTCAAAATGGAAAAGAAGGGGCAGATTTAGGGACATGTTAAAGAAGAATCAACAGTACAGTAATTGGCAGACTGGGGGAAAAGGAAACCATCAAAGATGGCTCCAGAGTGCACCAGTAAGATTAGGAGAATTGTGGTACCATTGACTTTTTTTTTTTTTTTTAAACTTTATTTATTTATTTATCCCCCCAAAGCCCCGGTAGATAGTCGCATGTCATAGTTGCACATCCTTCTAGTTGCTGTATGTGGGACTCGGCCTCAGCATGGCCGGAGAAGCGGTGTGTCAGCGCACACCCGGGATCCGAACCCCGGGCCGCCAGCATCGGAGTGCGCACACTTAACTGCTAAGCCACGGGGCTGGCCCTACCATTGACTCTTGAGGGTTTTTTTGGGAGGGAGGAAAGGTGATGAACTTAATTTAATGGCAGGAAGAGATGGCCAACAAGAAGTTATAGGTTCAGAACTGAAGATTAGGCTAGAGATGATGGTTTGAAAATTACCTGCATTGTTGCTTGCTGGCCGGGTGAACTTGGATAATTTTCTCTTCTACACTCGCTTATTTGGCAAATAACGGAGAATCTTAGGAATACCTATATTTGGGAAGTGGGAGGAAGAGTAGAAACTAAAAAGCAGACAAAGCATGACCAGAAAAACAAGAGCAATAGGTAGTAGAGTATAGAGAGAACAGTCTACATAAGTAGGGAAATGGTTGACATTGTTGAGTGCTGCAGAGAGGTCAAGAATAAGGACTGAGAAAAGGCTGTTGGTTTTGGTTATGAAGACTTGGAGAAAGCAGTTTCAGTTGAGTGATGGGTGGAGTTAATAGCTGATGGATGGTGGTATGAAGTGTATACCAATGTTGTAAGATTTTGTGGTTAGCAGAAATACAATTATTCTCTTGGTGGTAATAAGGTTAGGGTTATTAAAAGGTTTTTTGATAGCAGGGACCTGGTAGGAGCCACTGAAGATACAAGAAGTAGGGAGAAATTGATAGAGCGAAGTTGCAGAGAGGAGGTAGGGAGACTGAGCCAAAAGTATGGCGTAAGTGTTAGAAAGGAGGAAGGGCAACTTATCTTTTGAGACTGAGGACAGGATAAAAGAGGATGGATGGGAAATAGATTTTTGAGAAATTGAGAATGTTGGGAATGTGTGACATTTACCTTGCTTCCTGCTTCACTGAGATTATTTTATGAGATGATCTGAGAATGAAGGATTCAAAGCATGAAATTTGTCTTGAGGAAAGCAGAAAAAGTTTAGAAGGGCTACTAGAGAATGTTTGGTAGGAAGTTAATAAAGGGAAACAAGGATTCCTCAGCACCCATGATGGTTCCACTAAAGAGAAATCATGGTTATTTGGGTTATCTGGGTATTAGAAATCAGAAGGAAAGCTGTTTGGAATGGAAGATATTGAGTGCATAGCATATATGCTACAACTAGGGGCAAGGGTGTGTGGATCTAGTCTATTTCTTTAGTAGATTACAACAATATTACAGATCAAATTATACCTTTCAGGTATCTCATTTAATATATTGCTGAACAGCAATTGGTGACAATATTGTAGAAAGTATTAAAGCATCAGAAGGATGGTTGAACAGGTTGAACTCTGGGATTTCCTTTTAATAGTGTGTATGTGTACATACAGTTCTTTAAAGTCCTCAGTTATAACCAATAATGCTAACTTAAAAGAAATTAACTTGTTCTTTCCCTGATTTTTTTTCCCTCAGAAGTCTTGTGAGGCCTTAAATAACCAGAAAGTTTCTTTGGATTTTGTAGACCAGATATTCAGTACAAATGTTAATGTTTGACTTGAAAGTCATAAAAGACATTTGGCTGCTATCTAATGCCATATACAGATTTGGTATACAAACACTTTTCCAAGCATAGTGCCATAAAGAAAGGTGCCTAATATATATTAGACTGTTATCACTCTTGGATTTTAAATTTTAAGTGCTCTGGAGCTATTTCTTAGCCTTATGCAGCAGTTAGCTTTGTACCCTTAACTTATAAGGACCTTTTTTCTGATTTTTATAATTGGCCCCTAGTATAAGGGGCTCAGTATAAGATAATGCGGTGAACACTGAGGGGACTGATAAATCAGTGTGATGTGTGAAGGCCTGATAAGAGGTGAAAGTGAATTTGTGAGGGAAATTTATTAATTTGCCAATAGCAGCAGCAGATACACAGAATAAGCAGAAAGGGCTCTAAGTCGCTATCTGCCCATTCATTTTTGACTAAGAAAGTTGGAATTTAAGCTTAGAAGAGAAATTCCTATTGTACTTACAGATGAAAATAGCGGACTTCATAACTCCATTTGGCAGACATAATCCATAAACTGGCTTAAACGTCACTTTCTTTCTTTACACTTTTTTGACCACCTTAATTTTTAGAAATTAATTTCTTAAAGAGGGAGTAGTTACTTTTAAACGGTACTTGGTCTTGGCTTTGGATGACACAGTTTTAGACCTTTAGGAAGTAATTATGAGAGAAGATCATGTAGATGATTGCATCATAACCCTGGTCTTATTTTTGCTCCCTCCTTTATGTTCTTCATCTCAGTCTCTAGATCTGTGCTATCCAATACGACCACTTGTTTACTTAAATTTAAATTAATTAAGATTAAATAAAATTAAAAATTTAATTGTTTAGTCACACTAGCCACATTTTAAGTGCTCTGTAGCCACATGTGGCCAGTGGCTACTGTGTTTGCGCAGTGGAGAGACATTTCTATCATTACGGCAAGTTCTGTTGGATAGTGGTGTTCTAGATCTTTAATTATTATTAAAACCAGGAAAGTAAATGTCAGAAGCTTGGAATAGATACTTAAAAAAACCCCTAAAACCGTATCATTTATACTAATTCATTCCTAAGCTTTAGCTTTCTCAAAGCTCAAATATTTCTTAAATATTATTTCTTTAGGACAGGCTTTGTATTTAGTTTTGGTATTAGTCTTGGTCAAAGATCATTCTAATAATGATATAAAACAATAAAATAATTGTATTAAGAGTGCTCTCTCCAGACTATTTAAGTTTTATTAAAAATTATACCTATTAAGGTATAATTGATATACAATAAATTGCACATATGTAAAGTGTAAAATTTAATGTTTTGACATGTGTATACCTCTAGAACCATCATCATAATCAATATAACATAGCCATCATCCACAAAAGTTTCCTCATGCCCCATTTTAATCTCTCCTTCAGTTCTTTTCCACCCTTTCTCCCCACCTCCAGGCAACCACTGATCTACTTTCTGTCACAATAGATTAATTTGAACTTTCGAAAATTTTATGAAATGGAGTCATGCAGTATATACTCTTTTTTGTCTGACTTCTTCACTCTATGTAATTATTTTGAGATTCACCTCTGTAACATGTACAAGTAATTCATTACTTTTTATTGTATGGATCTGTCGTTCATCTGTTAGTCTGTTGATGACATTTAGGTTGCTTCCAGTTTGGGTTATTACAGAAAGGTGCTACAGATGTTTATGTTCAAGTCTTTGTATTGACATATGCTTTTATTTCTCTTGAGTAAATAACCTAGGTGTGGAATGGCTGGATCATTTGGTAGGTTGTATCTTTAAACTTTTAAGAAACTGCCAAACTTTTCCCAAGTGGCTGCACTATTTTGCATTCCCACCAGTAGAGTCTGAGCTTTCCAGTGGCTCCATATCCTTGCCAATTCTTGGAATGGCCAAGCTTTTAAATTTTATCTGAGAGACTACTTTAACAAGAAAAGACTGTCCTGGGCCGGCCCTGTGGCTTAGCGGTTAAGTGCGTGCGCTCTGATGCAGGCGGCCCGGGTTCGGATCCCGGGCTCGCACAGACGCACTGCTTCTCTGGCCATGCTGAGGCCGCGTCCCACATACAGCAACTAGAAGAATGTGCAACTATGACTTACAACTATCGCCTGGGGCTTTAGGGGAAAAAAAAAAAAAAAAAAAAAAAAAAAAAAAAAAGAAAAGACTGTCCTGATGGAATTAATTCCCTCTCTTGGAACTTTTTGTTTTCAAAATGCTGCAACAATAATACTTTGTTTGTGAAAAGATTTTAGATAGTCTTCTACAGATTTATTTACTTTTATTTTTGATAGTATTTGCTCACTAATGCTGATTTGAAACTCAGTTTATAAGAACTAATACGTTTTCTTCCTTTTTACTTAAATATTTTTCTTTTTTTTTCCAGCGGCCCCTTTGTTGCTTTATGCGAACAGACGGGACTTACGATTGGTTGATGCTACAAATGGCAAAGAGAATGCTACGATTGTAGTTGGAGGCTTGGAGGATGCAGCTGCGGTGGACTTTGTGTTTGGTCATGGCTTGATATACTGGAGTGATGTCAGTGAAGAAGCCATTAAACGAACAGAGTTTAACAAAACTGAGAGTGTACAGAATGTTGTTGTTTCTGGATTATTGTCCCCCGATGGGCTGGCATGTGATTGGCTTGGAGAAAAATTATACTGGACAGATTCTGAAACTAATCGGATTGAAGTTTCTAATTTAGATGGATCTTTACGAAAAGTTTTATTTTGGCAAGAGTTGGATCAACCCAGAGCTATTGCCTTAGATCCTTCAAGTGGGTAAGTTTTTGTGTAATGTACAAAGGTCGTTGCATCTTCTCCTGGTTTCTCTCCATTGGCATACACCCCTTCACCCCCAAGAGAAGAGAAAGATCAAAAACTGAATTTTAGATTCTTTGGGCTTCTTTGTCAAGTAGACTTGAATGTGGGAAGTTATATTGTGGTCTTATAGTGAGGTGTTTCTGTAAATAGTTTTGTGTATTTTTTGTGTGTGTGTGAGGAAGATCAGCCCTGAGCTAACATCCGATGCTGATCCTCCTCTTTTTTGCCGAGGAACGTTGGCCCTGAGCTAACATCTATGCCCATCTTCTTCTACTTTATATGGGACGCCGCCACGGCATGGCGTGACGAGCAGTGCATTGGTGTGTGCCCAGGATCCGAACCCGCGAACTCTGGGCCGCCGAAGCGGAGCGTGCGTACTTAACCACTTGTGCCACTGGGCCAGCCCCTAGTTTTGTGTTTCTGATAGCACTTACGGGATAGCCATATTTATAGTTCTTTGTTTTTCTTCTACATTTATTTTTCATAATTATGAGAGAATAATTAGAAGGCAGAGAAGAAGCAATGAAGACTTAACAAGAGTACTATTTGGTAGCTTGAAACAATATAAAAAAATCTTCTGGATCTTATAACTTTTATTATATACACAATCGTTTTGTAATACTAGTATCTTTTAAGGTAAACTCTGAAGTAGTATTTAATTTGTCATCATTGAATGGGAAATAAAAGTTAAGTTGTTAACTCATTTCTAGTTAGCTAAACATATATTTGCCATAAAGGTTTAGTTTTTAATGAGAAGGGAAACTTAAAGCTATGGGTAAATTCCATTAGAACATGTGAACTGTGTCCCCACATTGCTTCTCTTACTATGCGTCAATCTTACCGTATACCATTCCTTGATATTTCTCTATTGAAGTACATTGTCATGCCAGAGTCTGTCATGGCTAGGTATAGATAACTTATCTAAAAATGAACCTGAAAAGAGTTACTAATAGCTGGTCAAAATCTAAAGATAAATAACCTGTGAATAACTATTTTAATACTTTGTTTTCTTTGACTTTAAAGTATGTGGGAATGCTTTAAAACTCATTTCATTTATAGAAGGGAGTGGATTAATATTATGTAATAAAGTAAAACTTAGGGAAAATGAAAGAAAGGTTTATATGTGCTTCTTTCTTTTGATATCTGCCCTAATTTGGTGATAAAGGTTAAAGAAGATGCCATGTTGTAGGAAAATGAAAAATTTGTCTGACCATAAAAAATAACAATGGGCAAAAGTGGAGTGGAATTTGGGGGTAAGAAGTTCTAGAGAGAACAAATATATATTATATGTATATTTTAGAAGGGCATTAGGAAGTATCTGCTACAGTCAGGTGGTGCTCTCAATAAAGCGTCAGAAAATGTAGTCGAAGGGTTGAGTGTCCTGGGGAGGAGGTCTCGGGTGTTGGGTGTGCAGTAAACATACTGATTGAAGAACTTGGTTGTCGGCAACTTGCAGGATATTTTTGAGAAGCGGAGTCTGTGTTTTGCCAACAAAATATGTAAGTCTCAGAGAATGTTGAAATGTTTCTGAGGTTACTGCTTTGTAGAACACTCAGAATGTTGGTGCTTTCAGTGGTCATTAGGGAGTAATAGTTTGGTGAAAGGTTAGTTTTTTTTTTTCTTCTTGACGAATTCAATCTTATAACTGTAAAGGTGGTGATGGAAATTCACCCAAATATTAATTAAATGGTTAGTATGTTCAGAGCTCTGCTTTTTGTGCTCTTGTTGGGGAGAGAGGGGGAATATCTTTAAGGATTTACTATCTATCTATTTAAGGATAGAAAACTTGGGAGAGACAACTTTTCCTTCTTTAAAGCATGTTTATTTGCATTTGTATGTATGTGGAGAGGAAAAGAGTGTTAAAGGAATTAGAAGGGCCACAAGAGCTCCTGAGGAGGATGGGTAGATAAAATAGATTGATGATCACAATTCTGGAGCAGCGTCTTGATCATTTCTATAAGGGATAGTGATTATGTGATAGCACATATTCAACGGAGCTGAATTTATAGGCAACTCTTGACTATTCAGGATCTAATAATTTAATAAGTAAGTGAATCATTGTAATTTTTTGCCCCTAAAACACCCCTTACTTCTGGGAGGCAGATCTGATAAGTATCTTAGAAAATAAGTTTACCATATGATTAAAAAGAACATTAGAGTTTCTGTGGTTTTAATTTATCCGTGATACTTCCCAATATTGAAGGTGAGAATTTTCCAAAGATTCAGCTGATAAAGGATATTAGGATATCAATAGTGTGCTTTGAAGGTAGGAAGGTAGTGTTATGTAAGCTTCTAAGGGACATTGGTAAAGGATAACTAGTTTTCCTGAGGCCTAAGGGTTTGGTCAAACACCTGCTGAAATCTCTTTCATTATTTTTGATGTCTGTGGTTAGTGTTGAGTGTGTGTGTGTGTGTTTGTGTGTGTAAATTCACCTTTTTTCCCCTTTAGCTGTTCTTCTCTTAAAATTCTCTTTTAATTTTTGAGTGGTTACTTTGTATCATATGGCTGTTTTAAAAATTATGCACCTGGAAGCAAATAGAATGCAGTCAGATGGTATACATTTGATAATTAGCATGATGGAATGTATTTAAAATTGTATTTTAAATGCATGCGTTTAAAAATATAGTGTATCAAACAGTCTTTCAGTATTGATCTTAGATATGTGTTAAGGATTGTGGTTTTAATGGAAAAGTAATTTTAGATTTAGTATGTCACTTATCAAACATGAGATGATTTCCAGATTGATTTTTTTGAGGAAAAATGCTTTGCTTTCCAGAGAAAGTATTTGAAAACAGTGCTGAGGAAAAATGTATGCTTGATGAGAGTTCCAGGATCCTGGGTTATGAGGTTCAGAGGAGCTGACTGAGCTCTCTCACATAAGCTTATGTAAAAGGAAAGCTTTTGAATGACTCGTATTGTTTGAGCCCTGGGAACTAGTGCAGACATCTGTGGGCTTTTCGATGTATGGAGTTCTTTGTGTAATCAGTCCATTTAGCCTAAACTGAAGGAAGATTTTTATTTCCCTCCCTAAATTTGGCCTCTATTAGTCTGAGATTTTTTTTTTTCTTTTGAGTGACTGGCAGTGTAAAATTTAGCATAAGGAACAGGAGAACTTGTGCATGGAAATTGTTCCAGAAAGGAACAACCATAGTTACAGAAAGCAGTATCATTACTTTATAGTGAAAGGTAGTTCCAGACTATGTGACTGCTCCTAATGATGGAGTTCCTTTATCTGTTCCGCAGTGACTATACTAATCTTAGTGGTATTGAGGACCTACTGTTTCAGGTACAAATAAAGCAGTTCTAAGGATTTTTTGTTTGTTTAAGGATCTGTTCAGATTCAAGTATTGTGGATATTTTTTAAAAAGGTAAGCTTTAGTGATTCAGTCTGAAGTGAATTCATACTGAACAGCTTTGAATGATATATATTTTAAAAATACATTTTTATCATTGTTAAATGTAATGTTAACAACACTAAAAGTTCTGCTTTAAAAATGCTTGCAGACCAGCTCAGTTGAAAAAGAATGATTTGTAATTTCCCTATCAATTACATACATATAATTGTCATATCTCGAGTATATTTAAAAGTATTTTCTACTGGTGTATCCCAAATGACTAAAATAGTTCTTACCACATAGTAGGTATTCAGTAAATATTTTTTGAGTGACTGAACCTTGTATTTTCTTTCATAATCCTGTTAGTTTTCCTGTTAAGGGAGAAAGCATTTTCTAAGCAAATGTAAATTTTAGCATGGTCTCTTGTGAATTCCAAATCAGTATGGCTTTGATTACAATTGCTTATTTAAAGCTTATTTAAGATTTTTGGTCATTTCAACAAAAATTATCAAGATCCTATTTTATAAAAATAAATTCCCTGGAGCTTGTTTTTTGTCGCATCTAGCTCTATTTACCAGCAAGTTACTTCATTTTCTTGGATCTCAGTTTCCTCATCTCTAAAGTGATAGGTTCCTTTCAGTTTTGACATTAGGTTTAAAAAGCGAGACATTTGAAGAAAGTACTCTATGTATCATTTTTAAAAATTTTGTTTTACAGTTACACTTTCAAGTCAGTAATTTAGGTGTGTTACACTTAGAATTCTGTTTCTGCAGAACAGATTGTTCATAAAATTCTGTTTCTGCTGCCCTTATCGCATGTGTCATCACACTCGACCTCCTTTTTTAAAAGGGCTATTCCACCCCTAAAACCAGTTTCAACCTTTTTTCCAATTGCACTTGATGTAAACTGAAAAACACTTTAAAATGCCAAATGATTCTTTTTGTATGAAGAGTGGGAAAATGTAGCCAATTACTTTTAGGCAGATTATATAGATTCATATGAGGTAGGGTGTTTTGAGATTATTATCTAAAAATTAAGACAAATGTGTCAGAAAAGCCACTAATCCAGGAAATCTGGATTATAGGTTAGCTTTACCAGCCTCTGGGATATGAATCAAGGTCCTTGGAAATGGAAAAAAAATTAAGAATAAATAAATGTGTGTGTATGTATATATTCTCAAATGTTAGTGTAGGGCTTTTTTCTTAAAAGCATCTTAACTTTCATCCAGTTTTGATTCTTTATATCTAGTGCTATCCATCAACCTGTCTCAAACTGAGTTTTAATTATGTAGTCTAATTTTTTTATGTCCCATCTTTCCAGGTCCAATTTTACTGAAGGAATATTCAAAGGGAGTATTTGCAGTATAACTAGATGGCTTTAGTTAGCCCAGTCTTTTAATAGGTTTGCTTTTTTAATACAAGCTTTCCTTGCTTGCAGCATTGACCTTTTAATTCATTCTTAGGACATAGAAGAATGAAATTTGTGAAATTAAAGAATAGATATCTTTAACTGAGTATTAATTATTCTCTGCATTTTGAGGATCTTATGTATTCTTGCTGTATTCCAGTATGGTTGGCTCTTCAGAAATTATAAATCAGTTTTTTTTTTTTTTTTTTTGTGAG